GAATAATGAAGAGCAGAGTCACAAGTGAAATAATTCTTTTGATTTATAATGAGATGCATAACATTCCTGTCCATAGTAAATATGATAACTTTATAACGCAGTTAATAGATATAAAAAAAAGATATAGTATCACGAATGCTTAATGCAATTCAATCAAACTTTTTTATGGTCCTAACGAATCAGTAATGAGACAAATTATTTTTTTTGCATTCTTTAAAGAATTAATTGACCTTAAGAAAAGCTTAAAAATCAAACGCATTCAATTAATTAACTCTGGAATTGCTGAAACGATTAGCTTTTTGCTTTTACAAAAATATACTGGAATCCGGAAAAACAAAAACATTCTTAAACTATTAATTAAAGCGTGTAATGATGTTCACTAACTTTTTACCTATAATCAATTTATTTATGCAATTTTGATACTACTGTGAATTATTCATTGTCCACAGTGGCGTTATATTCTGAAATAATAGTAATAATAATATCAGAGGTATATGTCAAATAAGGCAGTTTTAATCAAATAATTTTTATTACTTAAATAGTTTTTTATTAAATTATAAAGGAGCTTTATTTTCAAATAACTTTTATTTGAGTTAATAAGTTATTAGATATATCAACGATGCTAATTGAATTTTATCAATTTTTATTATTTCAAAACAATTTTTTACGCATTTACTAAGTGAGCAGAAATTTATTATAACTTATATGCAATAAATAGGTGCGACAACATGGGTTTTGATGTGGAGAAGCATAATTGTCAATTTCTAATTAAAAGCCCTCTATATCAAGAATTTTCTTTAAAAAAAAAAGATCCTTTAGAAAAAAATTTGGGCCCCCCAGCTCTGATAACCTTATGACTGTACCTGTTATCCATCAGTAAATTTTTCTTACATTAGTTTGTTAAAACTTATGTAAGAAAAATTCACTGATAGATAACAGTTACAGTCATATCTTTTCAATATAAATTTTGGATGTTTTGTAAAAGCATGTAGAAACCATGCTAAAACATAATTACTTTCTTTGATTTCTTTCAATTCGTATTTAGTTTTTAACTTAAAAGTAATGCTATTAAATATTTTAGCATGGTAATATTGTACTAATAGTGCACGAATGTTGCTTGCTACTAGGGAACTTAATAACAACTTTTCCTTTTATTTCTTGTAGTCTGAACACTGTTTAATAATAATATTGAGACTGTTTAATAATAATATATATACTTAACAATACTTAACATTTTTAAATAACATAACTATAGCAAAAACAATTGTTAAAAAATTTTAATTTTATTTGTACTAAAAAGTGGGACAGAAACTTTTTCATTTAAATTAAGTTTAGTAAACTAAAGATTGACAGGTCTGTTTGGAAATGAATCTTGTGCAGGTTTATTATATCTAGTATATTTTTGATAAATTTTGGCAAATGTTTTTGCTATATTTTATTTATTGTTGAAAATTCAACAATAATATTTCATAACCGAATTCATCCTTAGAATACGGTTTAAAGAAACCTCAAAATGTTTTCCTTGATGTTTTTGTAGGTAACTGAGTCATCTTCTAGGTACGCAGGTACAACAGATCTATTTGGCATCTTTCAGTACTGAATAGATCTATTTTGGCAAACATGTTAATGTTATTGTTTTTCTTTTGGAATTGTGTATATCTTTGGCAGTTTTATATGTTCGTAGTTGGTGGCTGAACCATTAGTGGTTGCCATCAAATACTGTTGACTCAACTGCCAAAATAACTTGTTGCATTGTTGTCTTTATTCAATGTTGATAATTTTATGTGTTAGATTTCAATGTAGATAAACTAGTTTTTCTATGTGACATCCAACATGTACACTTATAATTTACCAACATTGCTACAAAATATTAAGTTCAACAAAGATAATTGTAAGGATTAGGTTTCATAAAGCTTTTTCTTAAATATCTTGATCTTGCCACATTGTTATACAAATCAACTACCACGCCTATGCAGAAACAGTTCAGAGCTCGTATGCAATTAAAGATCACAAAAAGCTTGAAAATGTACAATGTAGGTCAACTAGGATAGAACCACTGAGAGGCATGAGTTGTGAAGAAATAAGAAAAATATTAAGAATATTAAGTATACTGATGTTAGAAGAATAAAGAAGTAATTTGATAGATATTAATTTTGAAGTTGAATTTTGGTTCTACAACAATATTCACACAGTAATAATAAAATATTAATAAAAGACTTCATGAATAGTTTACTTAAAAGTATTTAGGTTGCAGTTCATTATCAAAAAATGTCATTGATTTTGAAAGCAAGAATATGTTTAAAAGTAAAATAGGCAAAGTTTTAATAAAAATATTAAAATTATTTTATGAAGTTTTAAATTTGAGTCAAAGTTATACATAATTTTTACTCATTAAACTATTAAATAAAAAAGTTTTGTACATTTTTTATTAACTTTAGTATAAACACCCTTGTCACTGATTTCCTTATTTCTTAATGCTGTAAAAAAATTTTTTTATTATTACAGTCTCAATATCAGGGCTGTGGAGTCGGAGTTGTGGAGTTGCAACATTTTTAACGGAGTCGAAGTCGGAGTCGCTAAACAAAATCGCAACTCAGACTCTTTACAATAGTAAAATTTTCTGGTATTACACGTGCATGTACAAAACATTCAATTAATCTTATGTTCATACTAAACTTTAAAGAACGTTTCTTAAATTTGTCAAAAAGAAATTTTTAAATTGTCGCGTAATATTTTTTTAAGAGTTCAAAGAATTTTTCAAAAATGTTGCTTTGGAGTAGGAGCAACATTTCACGGAATTGGAGTTGGAGTCGGAGTTGTGCTAAAAAAATTTCAACTGAAGTCGGAGTCGGAGTTGTACTCAAAAAATTTCAACAACTGGAGTCGGAGTTGTTACTTTTTTTTTACGACTCCACACCCCTGCTCAATATAGTTAATAAAAAAATCTTTATTAAAAATATTTGCCTATTTTACTTTTAAACATATTCTTGTTTTCAAAATCAATGAAATTTTTTGATAATAAACTGCAAAGTTTCTTACCTGAAAGTATTTTAATTATTACCAATTTTTTTCAGACATTTAAGTTGTTACCTGGAATTATTTGGCACTTACTATAAGAACTCATTAGGTATGGATAATATACATATTTCTTTGGCTTCCTCGGCTTAACTTTGCTTATTAAAATGCATACATTTATAGATGCAAATGGTTGCTCAAATTGAATTTACATGTGTTATATGTTTATATATAGTAATAGTATTAGTAACCTTCTTTTCAGACTGGTTAACATTAAATTAGGACAAATATTTATTAGTAGAATGAGTAAATAGCTACAATTAAATGAGTTTGAAACATGTCTTAACACTTCATAGTTTATGTGATCATCACATGATGAAAAACCACTAGCTATAAAAAATTATAAACAAAAATTATGGTACAGTGTTAACTTAGATAGCGTAAAGGTTGCAGATATAATTTTTAACAATAACTTAATTTTTTTGTTTAATAATTTTAAAGACAAGGTAGTTAAGGTTTTTCATTGATCAGAAACATTTAAACCTGTAGAAATGTTTCTGATCAATCTTTATATTTCTTGTTTAAATGTTTCAACCAATGATTTTTTGCTTAAGTATTTGATTTGTAAAGCCTTTTTTTTAATTTCTACTAAAAATTTCACTAAAATGTATTTTGTGTTTAAAATAATAATTTTTCACTTTTGAAAAGAAATTCTTTATAAAATTTACTAAGCTCAAAAATTGTATGATGTTCTATATAAATTTTGTTTTTGTTTTTATTATAATTTTTTGTCCTTATCTTTTTAAATATCAATGTTTGTGTATGTTTATAAATTTATTAAATGTTTTACCTAAATAGTGTCTGTAAACCGTATTTCAGATATTTGATTGCACTCAAAAATATTAATTTGTTTACATGAAATATTTACATTAGGAAATCAACATGTATAAGAATAGACAACTTGGCATAGCTAAACAAAAAGACTTGCCATAAAATTTCTATCAATTTCAGACATGTGGGGCATAATTTTTTTAATATCTTCTTTTCTTTTGAAATTAAATAACTTTTTTGGTCTGAAGAGGCAGTTTTGGGGCAACAGGATAGTTTGTAAGTTGTAACATGCCTAACAGAATGTTATTGAAAAATGAGGGTTTGAATCCTGCGACTTTCAAACAAATGATTAATACTCTACTAATTTTTTTAAACAATAAATTAGTAGAGTATACAATAAAAAAAATTTAATGATAATTTCTAAATGATGTTTTTTCTATGATCAATTTAGAAAACCAATGAAAATGCAAGTTTAGAAAATCAATGAAATTTTTTGTTTGTTATAAAACAACGAAACAAAAAATCATTCTTTTATAAATTTATAACCAAATAATCATTAACCCTTTTGTAACAGAATTTAAAAAATCAAAAACAAAATTTTGCCCAGCTAATGTCAGATAAGTACTGATTTCTTGTACCTAAAATTCTTTGGATTTCACAGGCTACCATAGCTAAATGACCGCATATCCTGATCATGACATTAAACTGACCCTATATTAAGGCAAGTGAAATTCTTTAGTTGTGGTAAAAGCAACTTAACTTTTATAAAAGAAAATTCCAATATATAACTTCTAATTCAATTATGAGTATGGGAGCTTTTATTCTTGGATAGTAAGATGGTATCTTAGATGGTTTTATTCTTGGATAGTAAGATGGTATCTTAGATGGTTTTATTCTTGGATAGTAAGATGGTATCTTAGATGGTTTTATTCTTGGATAGTAAGATGGTATCTTAGATGGTTTTAGTGGTAGAAGTATTATAAAAAATACTCTGATATTTTTTTATAATACTTCTTCCACAAAATGTAGCTATAATTTATAGAACACCATTACTATAATATTGATTTATTATTAATTTTATATATACATATTTTAAAAATGATATCATGTTAAAATGTTGAAGTTTATAAATATGTAATATAATTTAATTTTAGAATAAATGGAAACAGATGTAAATTCGGTTGATGTAACAGATGCCCATATTACTCGAAAAACACGTCATGTTTCTGCAAACAAAGCTAATATTGTTGACAACTTTGTTGCTGTTGTATCTATTACAACATTCTTGATTGATATTGTGACAGATGCTTTAGTTGCTAAACAATACTTTGAAACTAAGAAATGGATATTGTTTGGGTTAAATTTAACTTTTATTATTGTTCCATCTGTACTAATGCAATTATTTTCTACTAAATGGCATCACGATGATAGAGAGAAGCAAGGATGGCTTTCAATTATGTTACATTTATTGCAATTAGCACCCATTGAAAGGTAATTTTTTTGTAAAGAAAAAAAACATGTTTTATACAAAAGTTAGTACAAAACATTTTCTGAGACATTTCATTTACAAAATGAATTTTTAAACCAGATGATCTTTCAAAATTTTGTTGTAAATTGATGCAATACCATTTAGCTTTTTACTTTATTGTAGGTATTTTCTTGCATTTTGGTATGGTGGAAAGACTTTGTTAAAAAAAAATTTAAATGAAAATGATTACAGACTATATTTAACTAATTGGCGAGATGCAACGATGTTGCGGCTTGTAGAAACATTTCTTGAGTCTGCACCTCAAGTGGTATTGCAGTTATATGTTTTATCACAACTAAATAGAGCTATAGATTTGAATAAAGATTGGATTACTGTCCTTGCTGCAGTAGTTTCTTTAATATCATTGGCATGGTCAATTGTTTCTTATACCCATGCTTTGCGTTTATGTGCACGTGAGAATGGACTTTCACTATGTGGATACATATTTCAAGTAATTTATAGACTTAGCATGATCGCTTCTAGAATAGTTGCAATGGTTTTATTTGCATCTGAGTACACATGGGCATTGTTTGTGGTAATATTTGTACATTGGCTTTGCATGTTCATATGGCTTCACTTTCAAAACACCAACTTCTGTTATAGTTCAAACAACTTAAGACGAATTTTTTATGAGTACACTTTCATAAGTGTTTTGGCCTTTGTGTATGTATTTTGTTTTATAAATGCGAAAAAGGGAATGACAAGACAACGTGTTAAGTTATATTATATACTTTTTTTTGTTGAAAATTCACTGATGATTGCAGCTTGGTATCCTTCACGTAAAACAACTTTTGGTATTTTGGAGTATGGAAGCTTAAGTATCGTTTGGGGTGCATTTATTTTAGGATTAGTAAGTATGTTACTCTACTACAAATTTTTCCATCCTAATGTGGATGTCACAGCTGGTTGGCTTTGTTGTAGTATATTTCAAAAAAAGTCTAGCTCTTTTCCAGTCTCCGATAAAGAGAATGGTTTAAATGTAGGATATTCAAAAACTATTTATGCAATTCCGGATTTGCAACAAGTTGAAAGGAAGTTTTCTATTGGAGTTGAGTTATCTCCTCGAATGGACATTCCTTCTTTTGTATTTCCAACTAGTTCTGAAGAAGAGGAAGTTTATAGATTTTCAAAAGTATCAAATAAAGTTTATAAAGTTGAAGATTCGCAAAAACAAAGTCTTCAATTTGAAAAGTCTAGTAATCAGAGTATTGAGTTTTATATTTAATTTATATTTGATTATATCCGTTTCTAAAGTGAACTAAAACTAGTTTTCCAACATGATATATGTATTTATATTAATAATTATATTTCCGTCAATTTTAAGATTATGCAAGTATTAAGTTTTGTATATAGCAAGCAAGTTTTATATTAAAAATGTTGATCGAAAAAGTTTTAAATAAATTATTAATCTATCTTTAAGTTATTTATCTTTAAAATTGAACCCATGTATGCTCTAGATGACGTAATATTTGGTGTCACATCGGAAATGTCATTTTCTAATCGGTGCTTGTTTAATTTTTGAAAATTTTTAACTCTGAACATCAAGGTGACAGTGAAGTGTATTACTTTTCAATCGTTTAAAAGATCATTAACAAAAAATAAAAGAAAAAAGTCTTGTTGAAAGATTTGTGTTGTTGATCTTTAAGCGCTTTTGCTGGCAAACAGGAAACCTTTAAAATCAACAAACTGGCGAGAATGTTTGTTTGGTACCTTTAAAGATTAGGTTGTGGTTAAGGGCAGGGTGATAAAAATTTTTTAAGTAATCACAATTTAAAACAAAAACTGTTATCTTTATAGGTTTCAAAACATCGTTTTAATATTTTATAAACAAAATTATTAATATAGTCTTCATTACTCAATTAATTTAAATTGTTGATGATCTAAATCAAAGGGTGATTTTACCCAATCAAATATGTTTTCGATGACATGAATTTGATCAGAATTACTTTCATTTACTTTTAAATGAGTATCATTGTTTTCATTGTCATTTTTATTTTCCTCAGAGGTCGTGTTGATTATGTTCTAAACACGCATTTGTGACGTTTAACACTTGCTTTAGAAGCGTGATAAATTTTGCAGGATTTGCAAGTTCTTTGATCAATTTTTTGTTGTGAAATTGATGGGCAGTACAAATCAAAGGAAGCTTCCATCGAAATTTTTGAACCTATATATCCCAAGCGCTGCGCTAGAGAAGAAAAGTAAGGTTTAGGAATATTTCGTGCTACCTTTGGCTCAGGAATAAAAATTCCTTCAGCAGCATGAGACATTACTACTGGACCTGGTAAAAAACGTTGAGGAAAATATTTTTTCCAGCAACTTTGCCAAGGTTTACAGCAATTCGGAACATCACACTTAACGATCATTAAAAATATATTTACTTTGTCTTACGTGATTTTCAATCCATTTTGAATCTTGCTCTGGTATTGGTGACAGTTGGGAAGGTTCAAAATATTCAGCACAAACAGAATAGTTATCAATTACTATATCCGACCATACCTCAGCTAGAGTTTCTGCAGCTTTAGCAAAAAAAAAATTTTCCAAATCAACGTCAATTGTTTTTCCAGATGCATTTAGATGTGTCCCAAAATGGTCATGTGGCAAAACCAATCCTGCTAACTCTCGACTCAGCGGAGCCATACGCCGTTCAACCCTGTTATATGCTGAATAATGAGGTGCATGAGTTCCTGTTAGATAGACATCCAAATCCCATTTTATAAATCATGCAATTGCAACTTGCAATGGTTTGGAAAACCTTGGATTTTCATCAGGGCCTCCATCACATGCAACAACAAATGTAGGTTTTACCTGACCTTCTGGAGTACAAATATGAAGCTTAAAATTTTCAATTGAAACAAGACGCTCCAAATCACGGCCATGAGTAAAAGCAGTGCTGCTATCATGCTTCATAGATCTAATAGCAATATACGTTGGGCCAGAATATGACACTGCGTCAGCAAATTTGTTTGGATCAATAATACAAACTGCATAAACAGACGGTATAAGCTTATGTCTGGAAGCGACTAAAAAATCATGATCTGGCAAACGTACTTGATAATCAAGATGCATCAAAATTGGTGATTGTTTTGTTGCAGCTGCTAATCCTAATGGTACTTTAGCTTTGTCGTCTAGACTTAAATAAAAGCATGAATCTGGAGCAAATATTGAACAAACTTAATCCATGTATTGCATGCACGCAAATGTTAATCCAGCATCAATATGCCTATCACAAGCTGTATTAGCAGTCCTGATCAACTTCACAGGAACTGTCTTAATGTGACGTATTCCCTCAAGTGTGTTCGATCGCTTAGGCATCAGTCTTAAATAAGTTGCAGATCGCGATAAACATTAACCCAGTTTTAGTAGGCTTTTATTTAAGTCATCAAGTGTCTTACATGAACGTAACTCCTGCGATCTTCGTCGATTGCTAGCAGCGGCTCCTATTGATGCGATGTTAACGATGGCATTAAGAAGATCTGGCTGATCTTCAATTACAGCTGGTCTACCATTTTTTTCTCTATTGAATTTAGAAAGTATTGATTTTAAGTAGGGCGTGTCATCGACAATATCGTTCGTTTCAAACTTGCTCTGCGTTGTCTTTAACGGATTGCCTCGCGTTTCATTTTTTTAAGACGGTTTTATTTTATTTTTATTTGCTTTTCTAAAAAAATCGAGTTTATTTTAAGTTCATCAGTTATCAATCCTACACGGCGCACATTTACCAATGTTAACAGCTGCTCTTTTAACTGCTAAATTTCAGTTTGAATTTTCTCTTGTTGTGGAGTATGAGATTTTGTCGGCTGATCAATTGGTACTTCCGTTTGTGATTTTTAACTTTTTTGAATATCAAATTTAGAAGAAGTAGCTAGTGTTTTATTGATTTCAAAATCTATTTTGTCTGCTTCATCGGATGTTAACAAAGCTTCTGGTCCCTCATCTAATACTTCGTTTGTGAGAGGAAGCTTCATTGCAATAGATTGATTATTTGATGTTTTAACATTAGACCAAAAAGACATCAACTGACTTTTACTTTCCATTGATTTTCGTGTGAGTTCTTTTAAAACTGGATGTAACGTCAATTCTTTATGCTTAACTTTATACCACAATTTATTAGCTTCTTTCTGTTGCTCCTGTTTACTTTTTTGTGGCAAAGCTTTTGCTACTTGTTGGTAAATAATTTTGTACTTTTCACTATTATTCATTTTAATAATTCCGTCTTCAAACTAATTTTTAACTGACTATTTAAAGCACAACTTAAATTTACAAGCTACAATAAATGCAAACGGGGGTTGTTTGTTTAGTTTTTAAATAATTTTTAGTATCTTATTTTTATTATAAAATATTTTTTACAAAATAAAGTTTAAAAAATTATAAAAAATACTATTTACATAAGACTTTCAAAAATTAATATTTAAAGTTTAACAATACTTTAAAACTTTAGCTTTTAAACTTGTTACCCTTAGCAAGACTGTTGTCGCGCTAATTAATTAAAAATTGAAATATGAAGAAATTCCGAAATTCTTTTTATACTTAATATTGTTTATGAAAAGTATTGAGCAATTGATTTAATGAAATGGAACGTTTTGAAATATAAAGAATATCACCACTTTTTGATGACTTCTCTTGATGATTTTTTATTCGTGCCCGGCGTACTTTATTGACAATCCCTAATATTTAAATTTCTTAAATAATGTTTTTTTTTTATAAATTTTAACTTTTTAACTCATAAAGAGAAAAGAGAAGATGAGGGGGGGGGGGACTTCAAAAGCGTACGTACTTTTCAAAGGGGGGAGAGGACTAAAAAGTACGCATGGCAACTGGGGGGAGGGGGGTCAATTTTTTGAAATTTTTGGCGTACGTACTTTATGGATGACCCATTAAGCATTTTTATGTCGATTTTTATTTTTTGATTAGCGGTAAATCCGCTTGTGTTTATTGGTAAATGCGGCTGTGAAACGTTGAAGCGCGTGTATTGTAAGCGAAAAGTTCAGTGTTCAAACTACTTATCTCTATAAAAACTGGATAGCTTACCTGTATAATAACTGAAATCAAATTACCTTTATTTTTTTCCCAATTATAAAAACAACTGGATATCACATTTTTTTTAATTTTTTTTTTTTTTATATATATAATTTAATCCCAACAAGACTGCAAGTAACCACTACTTAACTCAAAAGTTACCAGAAAAAAAAGAGCAAGAAAAACGACTCAAAAAATTGTAATAAATATAAATATAATAACAGTATTTCATACATGGGTGATAAGAGATTTATAGAAATGGAGATTCGAATTGGGAGTAAAGTAATCTTTGAACTTGATAAAAAGAGGCAACCTTAGCAAATGCTAACTTTGCAATCTATTCTATAAATAGTTTACATATGAGCTCAGTAGTGAACGAAAGTCAGAGGTAAAGTAAAGTAGAGGACTCAGTAAGAGTATTGCCATTCATCAATATAAGAAAATTGCGATAATTTTTATCATTAACCAACGATGTTTTGTTTAACGAATAGTACTGTTTGTTAAACTTTGTAACCGAAAATTAACGAATTCGTTTAACTTCACCAATCGAAGTTAAACGAACTTCACTGGTGTTTAGTTAAAACGCATTTAAAAAATTATAGTTTTTAAGATGTTTTATCTTAAGTTTACGAAAAGATGAAAATACAACCCCAAGTTAAGTTACCGAAAGGCTTAATTTAAGTTTCACAAAACAGGGATTGCCAAAAAAAAACGTCCGCCTTACTCAGGGCCAGTTTATAAAGGGTTGGCATGTGCGTACATAGAGGGACACTATACCTTCATCTTCCCTGTTATATACATCTTTTTATGTTAGCAAACTAGGATCTTTACTCATAAAATTAACTATTTGTTAGCTGGACAATGATGAGACGGTATGGTTTTATTTTATTTTTTAAAGTTATCATTTGTTCAAGTGCATGTAGTTATTAATAAGTACTCGTAAATTGTGGTAAATTACAAAACCAAACGTTACTAAATTAATATTTTTTCAAGTTAGTGCAAAAAATCCATGAAAAAACATGTATTACATTACCAGAAAGAAAAAATTTATACTATAAATATACACCAATTTTTAAAACGTCACCCCAATTTTTAAACATGGCAGCAAGCAGAACTGAGCCAACTATACCAGTCTCACTAACATAGGTACCCTGCAGGGCTGTAGGAACAAAAATTATATTGGGGAGGGGGGGCAGTACTAACTCGAAATAGTTTTAAGGACCTTTTTTTCTTTTTTTTAGTCATTTTTTCAAACAATTTCTTCAATATTAATTATTTGAAATAATTACATGGGAGGAGGGGCTTGCTGCCCACTCAGTTGCTACGGGCCTATCCTGCAAAATTATAGAGGATATTATACGCAAAAAATCATAACAAATCATTCGCACTTATCTAATGTTTAA